TCTTACATTTAGATCTTTAATCCATTTTGAGTTTATTTTTGTGTATGGTGTTAGAAAGTGTTTTAGTTTCATTCTTTTACAAGTGGTTGACCAGTTTTCCCAGCACCACTTGTTAAAGAGGTTGTCTTTTCTCCATTGTATATTCTTGCCTCCTTTGTCAAAGATAAGGTGTCCATAGTTATGTGGATTTATCTCTGGAAAAGCCACCAATTTCAACTGAGGAGAGAACTGGGTAAGAATGTCTGGACCAGTGGTTCTGCTAGTAGAAATTACTTCCTTTCTATGGCGACTTAGAATACTTCTAATTTGAAGTTTGAGGAGGACGAAGGATTTCTCTGTGACTTCAGTTGAGACTGGAGAGGCGGCTGGAAATTAAATCATGCAGGTCTTACTCTTCATGAAGTGTCTATTCAAGTCTTTTGCCCAGATTTCCTTGGAGCATATATTATTATTTAAGGATTATTTATTTTGGTTCTTGACTAAGTACATGTATTGCAAATACCTTGTCTCTGTGGGATTTTAAACAGAAGCATAACATCAGATTTTCATTTTTAAAACATCACTGCAGGAACGATGGGAGAAACAAGTTTTCATTGGTCCCAGTAGAAATTGGTAGTAGCTTAGGCTAGGTTATGAGACATGGAGAGAAGTGGACAGGATTAAGAAATATTTGAGATAAACTTAGTAGGAGTTGTTAGTGAAGATTAGGTAAGTGATGGCTAAGATGAGAGAATGATTTAAGTATCTGGTTCAAAAGGTAAAAGTTATATATATATAAGTTAAATATATAAAAGTTCACCACTGTGAACACTTTCTTATTTTATTTAAGATGTTGATAAATGTGAAGAGAAAATTGCAAAGATTATTTGCCTTGAATAGAATACTATCTCAAATTTTTTTAAGTGATTTTGAAATGTAAATTTGTCTCTTATTTTTATGGCTTAGTAAGCTCAAATAATTACCTCATAAATTGTAGGAAAATATTTTCAAAATTATGTTCAATTATATTTTGAAAACTGTGGCTATAGTAGAAAATGAAATATGAATAAGATATTAAAGGGAAATAGGAGCTTAAGAAAATCAGCAAATTAAACTTGGCTTTTGTTTATTTTTATTTTAGGGGTCCCTTCAGTGTTGTACGACGATGCATCAACAGAGAAACTGGGCAACAATTTGCTGTAAAAATTGTTGATGTAGCCAAGTTCACATCAAGTCCAGGGTTAAGTACAGAAGGTAAGAGATGGATTTCAAGTAAGTTATTTGATGTCTGGCTTTATTTCATCTTCAATCCATCTATCAACCTAACCTTCATCTGGGGGTGGGGAAGTGGAGGGTATAATATAGTGGGAAGTGGGTGGAGACAGTTTAAATTCCACTGTAGTTTTCTGGAATTCTAGAACATAGTATTTGAAAGATAGCTAGAGTGATTAGCAAAGTTATGAAATCATCTAGGATTGCTATTGGCCTATGTTGTTTTTACTAGGAAGAAAGTAAAATCTGAAAATATATTTTGTAGAATCTAACTTGGAGTCCTGTAGTATGGAGCATGGAATGGGAAGGGTGAGAAGGGAAGTAATGGCACAAATATAATCATTGCAGATCCAAAACAAACTCATCTGAGTTCCCTTAAAGTCTGTAACTTACTACCCTTAGGATTATGATCTAACAGAACTAAAAGACTAATACATCACATTTTGCTTAAGTCATTTATGGTGTATGTGTGAAAATTTAAAAGGTCTTTACTGTTTGGACTTGCAGGACTTAAAACAAAATTTTGTTTTAAGACATTGATATGGTTAACCATGTTTATGTATAAATTTTTATAGACAATATATAACCATTAAAATTTTTTAATGCTTATAAACCATGGTTTCATGTAGCCATGCTTCACATGTGGTCATATTTCAGATGGCACAATTATATTGTTAACTTTTCTAATTACCGTGTCTTCTAACTTTAGACTTTTTCACAATCCAGTAAAAGACATATCCTTCTTAAATCTTTTCCTTCTTAATCTCAAGAGCAATGCAATTAATAGTTTAAATTGGAAAAGCTAAAGCAGAGTAGCCTTTTTATATTTATCCAGTTATCTTACTTTAACAAGTAGAAGTCCACATACTATGAGCTCCAAGTTAATCTATTCCTTCAGATCTTTTTTCAGTATCCTTAGTTTTAAATACTTTTTTGAAACCTTTTGAATTATTCCTACTGTTTGTGGAAGATTCTAGAACTTGTTATTCACAAAGGATAACAGGTGTTTTAGTGCTTTAATCTTTAAATTCTTGGATTTAGGGATTTTACATTTTGTGGTTTCATATTCTGGAGTTGGCTATTTTGAATACAAATTATTTTATAAACTTAGCAGAATTTGAAATTTACTTCCAATCAGGTTTTACCACTACATTATGTTTCCTAAAACTTTCAAACTGCACTTGTTTAATATACTGTATTTGATTTTCTGTACCTTAGATATCAATAACAAAAAAACTTCCTGAATACTTAGGTAATTTTGTATAAAACTAGTTCAGTAAATATGTAGATGTGTTGAATCTTTATTTCTTTTAAATGTTTTGATAATGTTGATGAATTTAGTAAGATTCCTGTTTAAAATCATAAGTCTAAATCAATGACTCCATATGCCTATGTTATGTTGATTTTGTTTATTATTTTGCCTAATTTTGAATCTACAGTCTAAAGACATTTTTTATGAAGACAGTTAATTACTTTCTCAGTTGACTGAGGTTCTTTATTGACAGATTTCATTAACAGGGAGCTATAGACCCAGCCTTTCAGACTGAATTTCTTTCATTGTCACCTAACCAGGGAGTCAAATACCAAACTTAAAAAGATGGAGTTGGTATATCATCCATGTCTCTGAGGTTAAGTCTTGTGTCGTTCACTCGTTAGTGCTTTGTTATTGTTTTGAGTATACAAATGTCTTTGAGTCCTTTCTGAAGACAAGACTGGGTCAATCCATTGATCTTATATGATAGGGTCACAGCCTATAGATATTAAATAGTATCCAGTTGAATTCTGCATATTATTCATGACTTTATCTGGTTTTGATGAAAGTTTGACATTATTCAAATGAAAATGTGCAATTGTTCCTTTATATTTATGGCACCAAAATGTAGTTTTTCCATCTTCTTTAACACAGTGACACTCATAATGATTAAGAAACAATAAAAATTTCATCTCCAACCCACTCCAAAGATTTTTCTTTTAAAAAAATTTTTCAGTGGAGCTCCCTTATCCTCTATTGCTTATTTTTATACTAGCTTGGAGAAGGAGATGGCAACCCACTCCAGTATTCTTGCCTGGAGAGTCCCATGGACAAAAGAGCCTGGTGGGCTACAGTCCATGGGGTCGCAAAGAGTCAGACATGACTGAGCGACTAACACACACACACACACATTTAAATTAAATGTGGACAGATTTTAAGATGTATAATAAATAATTATTTATTTTATTATATAAAACCTCTTTGAACAATATTCTCCACCCCTTACTTTTTTCAACACTCTTCAGTCACTACAGGCAAAACATATTTGTCCCTCCAGTCCATTAAAATTGTTACTGTCCAATAATGACCTTATTCATGGCTAAGGGTAGGAGATGTTGTATTAAGAAGAAACATATTTTGCAGTGAAATTTGAAACACAGTAAAAAGGAACCTGTATATTCAAACAAAAATATCTAGAAATATCTATATTTACTGTTATATTCTCTTCTAATTAAGCCTGTTTCTCAAGCAACAGATAATTTAAAATCAATTTTATTCTTTTCTTTTTTATTATATTTTTGTGGTTTATTTAATCTTTGTCATTGCCTCAATATTTTTTCCTGTTAGTACATTTGTATTCAAATACATTATTGAGTAAAATAGGTTTCATAAAGGATCACCTGGGAACAAAAAGTATGCTGTTTACTTGCACAGGTCATTATGATACATAGACAAATAAAAAGAGTACCTAGTTTTTTTAAAAAATTACCAGAGTATAGTTGCTATACAATGTTGCATTAATTTCTGCTATACAGCAAACTGTACTAAGTTATCTATATGCAAATATCCACTCTTTCAGATTCTTTTCCCATACAGGTCATTGCAGAGTATTGAGAAGAGTTTCCTGTGCTATATACAGCAGGTCCTTATTAGTTATCTCTCTTAAGAGCATCTATTCTTAATTTAATAGTCCCAACCATTGTTTCTAATATTTTTATAAGAAAAAATAAGTAATAAATTCTAAATATATAATTTACAAATTAGTTTTTGAAATGAAATATGTATAGTAATTAGAGACCACCTATATGTGTTTAAATATTTTACATTCTCATTGCTCTATTGAAGATAAGACATTGTAGTTATTTGAATATCTGTTCTGTATTTTCCCATTAAAATCATAATTTTTTTTCAATAGGGGATCTTAACTTAGAGGCTGCAGAATATCCAAGAAACCCTTAAATTGTAAGGGTTTTATATATATATATATATATATATATATATATATTCATTTTCCTAGAAAGTCTTAAGTTCTTACTAGATTCCTAAAAAGGCATATTATTCCTAAATGGTTAAGAATTTATTATTTCACATGTATGAAAAAAGTGAAGTTGATGTTTAGGAGCATGAGATGAAAAAGAAGCTTCTATTAAATGAAAGCTGAGTGAATTTATATTAAGATTGGAGGATATTTTCCTACTTAAATACATACCCCCATTAATGAACTCCCTTGTTTATTATCTTAAAACTTACTTTAATTGATAGTTTATCTCTTACTCTGCTAATCCACCAATTTAAAGTTTACTTTTTTGTGTATTTGTACAACTTCTTTATCCACTCTTCTTTCAGTGGACATCCAGGCTGCTTCTATGTTCTGGCTGTTATAAATAGTGCTGCAAGTGAACGTTGTGGTACATGTGTCAGTTTGAATTATGGTTTTCTCGGGGTATATTCCCAGTAGTGGGATTACTGGGTCATATGGTAGTTCTATTTTTAGTTTTTTAAGGAACCTCCATTATGTTCTCCATAGTGGCTGTATCAATTTATATTGCTACCAACAGTGCGAGAGGGTTCCCTTTTCTCCACACCCTCTCCAACATTTATTGTTCATAACTTTCTTGAAGTATAGCTGATTTAAATGTTGTGTTAATTTCTGCTGTACAGCGAAGTGATTCAGTTATACATATGTATTCTTTTTCATATTATTTTTCATTGTAGTTTATCACAGGAAATTGAATATAGGTCCCTGTGCTCTACAGTAGGACCTTGGTTGTTTATCCCTTGTATATATAATAGTTTGCATCTACTAATCCTAAATTCCCAATCCTCTCCTCCCCAACTCCCTCCCCCTTGGCAACCACAAGTCTGTTCTCTATGTCTGTTAGACTGTTCTATAGATAAGTTCATTTGTATCATATTCTAGATTCCACATATAAATGTTAACATATGATATTTGTCTTTTTTCTTTCTGAGTGACTTCACTTAGTATGATAATCTCTTAAGTCCATCCATGTTGCTGCAAATGGCTAATATTCCATTGTATATATGTATCACATCTTCTTTATTCATTCATCTATCAATGGATATTTAGGTTACTTCCATGTCCTGGCTCTTTTAAATAGTGCTGCTATGAACATAGGAGTGCATGTATTTTTTGAAATTATAGTTTTGTCTAGATACATGCCAGGGAATGGGATTGCTGGATCATATGGCAATTATAGTTTTAGTTTTTTTATGGACCCTCCATACCGTTTTCCATAATGGTCCACCTTGTTTACATTCCCACCAGTAGTGTAAGAGCTTCCCTTTTCTGCACATCTTCTCCATATATTATTTGTAGACTTTTTAATGATGACCATTATGACTCATGTGAAGTGGTACCTCATAGTTTTGATTTGAATTTCTCTAATAATAAATAAATAATAATAATAAAGTTAGTTACATCTTTTCATGTGTTTATTGACCATCTGTATGTCTTCTCTGAAAAAAATGTCCATTTACATCTTCTGCCCATTTTTTGATTGGATTTTTTGGGTTTTTTTTATTTATAGTTCAACTGTTTGTATATTTTGTAAATTAAGCCCTTGTCTATTGCATTGTTTGCAAATATTTTCTCTCAGTCTGTTAGCTGTATTTTCATTTATGGTTTTCTTTGCTTTGGAAACAGACACACTTTAGATACAAAGGCGCCACTAGGTTGAGAGTAAATGAATAGAAAAAGGAATACCATGCA